ATCCCAGCAGCACTCACACCCATCATCCCAGCAGCACTCATACCCATAATCCCAGTGGACCATGAGTTAATCACGAACTCCAGAAGTCAGCCTCAGGACTTACATGAGGCTTTGTGGGGACAACTAGACACAAGCCATAACAGCCAGGAATTCAGGCTTGACACTGCTACTGTGCCACAGCTGTGCACTAGCCTTCAACCAACACAGTTCAGATTTCTCACTCATAATCTCCTACAGTTCACTCAATTCCAGTTCTTCCTTTGTTTAGCGTCAGACTCTTCCAACAAGTTTCTTTCCATGACAGCCTGAAAACTTATTTCAAATGTAAAATTTTTAATCATTGGAAACATATCTATAAGGAAAAATGAGGCACAAATTTCTTAATGGGAACACAGTTAGAACAGAATTCCACTAAGACTATGGCTTTATTTTATAATTTTACATTCTAAATCATTCCAAATTATTAAATGTAACAATGGAGCATTGTACTTTCACTTATTAATTTTTTTCTCTCCTGTAAAATCAGCCTTTTCAGCGATGTGCAGTTACCTTTTTGTATTAGGGATCCTTTAAATTCTCTGTAAGCATTTCTAAGCACAATAGATTTCACATGCTATAGAAACTTTGGTAAAAGCGGTTAATAGGAAATCTTGGCTGCATTATGGACATTCTGATACACAACGCTTTGAGTGCTACGTTTCCTAAGCAACAACATTTGGCAGTTCGCGTGAGGCCATATTGATTCCCGTCCATTGTACCGGCTTTACACATTTTCATTTTACATAATGTTATAGAAATTCATTTCACCTAAAATACAATTTCTTCTAAGGAAACATAATCTAAGAATATGTCCAAAGTTGGTATTTATTTTTTTCCACTAAAGTTCTTAATAGATTCAATTAGAAAAGCAAAAAAAAAATCGACATATAATTAAATATGTCTGTGTAAGTAATGTTACACTGTGAATTCTTTTTTAAAATTCTTATTTGTTTGGTACAGGGTCTCACTATGCAGCTCAGACTTGTAGTGATCCTCTTGTCTCAGCCTCCCCAGGGCTGGGATTACGGGAGCAGGCCACCATGCTGTGTTTCAGGGTTGGCACAGCACAGCCAGGGTTCTAGGGTTGGCACGGTGCTGGGGATTGAGCTCAGGTCCTCGCACTTGCCAGTCAGGTGCTTCGACCTCAGAGCTAGTTCCCCAGCCTGTCAATTCTCTTTAAAAGCAAAAGATACTAACAACAATGTGAATGTGTACTGTACTGTCTTCAAGACTGGTGGAATGGCTAAAGATCTGCGATGTACATGATGCTTTAGTTACTAATTTGTAAGTAATCCAGAGCCAGCTGGATTAAGTAGATTATTTAGAGAGAGGATACCACACAGGTTTAACCTCCTTAAAATCCCTATGTAGGCACCAGGCACCCACCGAGCGCTTGGTGTTTTCCTAAGCCCTAAAGCTGTTGCCCACCTTCACTTGGCAAGTGTTCTTTGACAGCATGCCCCACATTCTTGCCAGTATGAAGATAAAAAGCGAGACACAGCTCTTCCCTTTACAGGTTTACAGTCTTCTTGGGGACAGACTCACAGACCAGAAATTTACCGTAATATAAAACACGCTTTCATTAGAGAAACGTGCACAGTGCTATGTACGGAAGGGTAAGGCATCGGTGTTGATGACGACAGTAGTGCCCTGCGACGCTGCAGAGGAGGAGAAGCACACCCGGAAATGCTTCAGGACTCCTGGCTTTTTCTTTCACCATAAGTCTGTATATCATCAAGGATCTAATTCCAAAACAGCTCTGCAGCCCGCCCACTCGCATCTCCACAGCTACACACCTCGGCGCAAAGACTGCCACTTCTCACGTCACTGGTGTAGTCACCTCTTCACTGGCGTCCCTTTAATGCTGCCCACCTAAGCCCCTTCTCTATGAAGCAGCCAGACTGCTGCAGGGACATCACAGTCCTCCCTTGCTGGCGCTGCCAGGCTTTCCCACTACGATCAGAATGAGATGCCGCTTTCTAAACAGTTCACGCACAGCCGTGCCATAATGTCCCCACTTTCTTCTCTTGCCACCCCGTCACCCACACTCGCAATATTCCGAAGACTTTGGTTTCTCCTCCTGATCCACTCAAACTTGTGTTGTGTAAAACATCACAAATGCATCATGCCTGCTTTTATTTTAAATCATTGTCTTTATTCTTTCTCTAGAATGTCATGTTTCACTTCATATAAGTAGCTGTGTCTCCGCACAAAACCTTTCCTGTCCAGGCTTAGCAGACCAAAACAAAACCATCAACCAAACTCCCTATGTGGAGTCTTTATGAAGCAAATCTTTAGTTTTTAACTAAAGCACATAAATATGTTTAATAATGCATTCATTTAGATGATATAATACTTTAAGAGCTGTCTTAGAAGATTATTCTTAGCATAAGAAATGTTACGCTGTTTCCTTTTGAAATTCACACAGAAGAGCTTTGGAATTTGCACAAAAGGTGCAAGGCACATAATTTGTCTTTTTTGTGAAATGAAATAGTTCACTAATCACAGAAAGGCCTTTTAATATGCAAATAAAATAACATTCAATATGAAAATAAAATACAATTTTATTATAATTAAAAAACAAGGGAATTCATTTATCTAAAGTGCCCCTGAACATTATTTAGAGAATTTAGTACTAACTTTAAAGCCAATCTATATAGCATAACTTAGATTAAGACACAGAAGAATTCATTTATCTAAAATGCTGGTAAATATTTCCTAAACAGAAAATTTAATTCTGATTTTTAATCAATAAATATACTATAATATATTCTATTTAATTGTTTTCAGAATGAATACAAATTTACACAACTAATACTTGATAAGTCATAGTTTTTAATCACATTAGTTTTGTTTCTAATCTTCATAAATTCATAAGGCACTTATTTTATA